GGTCTTGCAGATTGAGCCCAGCAACACATACGGGAAATACAAGGAATTAGCCCGCGTCTCTGGGAGACCATCCGATCAGTCAACCCAGCTTGGACGTCTCTCCCATCCGGACCCCTGTTTTCATAGAAGTCAAGAAACTACAATGCCATGAAGTGTAGTTGGAGTGGAAAAAAAAAATTGTTTCTCTTGTGTTGTTACCATAGAGAGTATGTCCTCTCTCCAGTGATGATATTTCTCTGGTGCTAGACCTCATACATGTAGAGTTTTTAATAATTTGACATTTTCTTAGCTCTTGCAGATGGTTGTGCTGTGTTTTGCTTGCACACCCCATCTTGAAGCTGGTACAGGTTCTCTATCAATTGGGCCCAACTGAATAAATTTTACCTGCAAACGGAGACAGGATCCACTCTCTGAAATGTTGTTTTGAAAAATAAAGAGGACAGTGTCTAAATTTAGTTTGGATCCTGCTGATTCTTGCAGCATACATAAGCTAAGTTTTATATTTTGTTCAGCGAGTTCTTCCAATGGCTAAAAGACATTTACCATGTAAGTGTATGTGTTTTAATCCTCAAATTTTTATATGACAAGTTATTTCATGTCTGTATTTCTTCATGGGACATACCTCAGTGGTTGCATCCCCTGACCATGTCATTGTGCATTTATGTGTATCTCATAATAGTGGTATGGTATGAGTGGGCCTGCGATATTTGTCCTCATGAGATATAAACTGTGTATTAGCCAAGCTATTCAAGGGGCAATTGTGTTCAATCTTTAATGGTTGAAAACAAAGTAATAAGGAATCAGAACAAAATTGCAAATGCGTTTAATAAGTTTTTCATATCTATAGCTGATTCTACCATCCTAAATAAGAATGTATGTTCAAATCAGGAACTACCCACCCCAATTGACTACTTGATTGATTCATTTAACTTGCCAGTCAATAAGATGAAATGGCAATATGCCTCTACTCAAGAAATTACAAGAATTATTAAATCGTTAAAGACAAAAAATTCGACCGGATATGATGAAATTTCAAATAGAATCATAAAAGTAAGTCTGCCATTTATAGTCTCCCCTCTGACTTACATCTGTAATAAAATTCTCAGTACTGGGGTTTTCCCGGACAGACTGAAATATGCCACAGTTAAACCACTTTTTAAAAAAGGTGAAACTCAAAATATGGCCAATTACAGGCCCATATCACTGCTAACTTCCTTTTCTAAGATAATTGAGAAATTAATGTATGCAAGACTTATTAATCATATAGAGTCAAATAATATATTAGCACAGGAACAGTATGGTTTTAGGTCTCACTCCTCAACTGAACAGGCAGCTTTCTCGTTAATGAACAGTATCCTATCTGCAATGAATAATAAGTTAATGGTAGGAGGCTTATTCTGTGATCTACAGAAAGCATTTGACTGTGTCAACCACAAAATATTACTAGAAAAGTTAATATTTTATGGAATAGAAGGGAAATTTAAGTCACTTATAGAATCATATTTAATGGGTAGATACCAAAGAGTTGTAATAGGAAACAAATTCGACAGTAGAAGCTTTTCCGAATGGGAAGTAATCAAATGTGGTGTACCTCAGGGATCAATCCTTGGCCCACTATTTTTTCTGTTTTACATTAATGACTTACCTTCAATAAGCAATAGGAAAAATAAAACAGTACTTTTTGCAGATGACACAAGTATTATAATAACTGACGTAAATAAATTAGAACTTGAAATTAATCTCAAACAAACTTTAAAAGATATTGACACATGGTTTAATGCTAATTTACTTGCTTTAAATTTTAAAAAATCTCAATATATTGAATTTCGTTCCAAGAATTGTTATAATATTACCCCAATGACCATAGATGATGAAATAAAATTACCAAAGGTGAAAGAAACTAAATTTCTAGGACTAATTATTGACGATACCATCACATGGAAACAGCATATTAACTATGTTATCAATAAAATTGCAAGGTCATGTTATGCGTTGAGAAACATAAAGCATTTTATCCCATTAGATACATTAAAGGTAATTTATTTTGCACACATTCACTCCATTTTAAGCTATGGCATAATTTTCTGGGGTAACGCTTCCTATGCCAGCAATGTCTTTAGATTACAAAAGAAGGCTATGAGAATTATTGCAAATTTTGGTCCAAGAGAATCATGTAGACATCTATTTGAGAAATTCGAAATACTGTCATTCTATTCCCAATTCATATACTCATTGATTTTATTTACGATTAATAATGATCATCTTTTTAATGCTATTACCATGATTCATGAACATAAAACCCGAACCCATAATAATCTATATTTGCCTTCTGTGAACCTAACAAAATATAGTCAGAGTGCATATGTAGCGGGTATTAAAGCCTTCAATCATTTACCTCAAACTTTAAAAGAGTTGACTTTGGATGTACCAAATTTTAAGAGAGCACTGAAGAGATTTTTACTTCATCACTCCTTTTATTCCATGAAAGAATACTACCAACAGAAATGGGTATAATGTGTAATGTAAGATAACACACAGATCGTGACGATAAATGGACTGATATAGAAATATGTTATAAACTACAAATTACGCAATTATCCTGTTTTATTTGTCTTGATGGGTATTATATCTTGTATGATAGTTTGAAAACATGTTTGAACAAGTGTCTGTTTACCATTTTATTATTACTGTGAAGTTTTGCATATGTGATCATGAATTATATTTTGGTGAAATATGCACGGTATGTGTATGACTATGCATTGTAGCATATTGGCTTGCGTGCTTTTGATTTCTGTTATTGACTAAGTTGCACCTGAAGTTGTCAACTATTTTCATGCTTATTTTATATTATATGACTAATCTATTGTTTTTGATTGTTTTAATAAGTGAATTTTGTATGATAATTGTCTCTTTTATATGCATTTTAATTTGACGCACTTGATTAATGGAATGAGTAATGAATGAACGTCTTAATGGAAATTTTATTTTAGTCCATGATAAATCTTGATAAATTTCTTGATCATTGTTTAATGTGTATTATAAGTATTATAAGTTTTTACCTTATTTAATTGCAATATTACTGTATTATTGTATAGATACTATGTATTATAACTTGACTTGTTCCATATCCTATGGTGTCTCACCTGTACTGGATTTACGGAATGTAAATAAATTCACTTCAATTCAATTCAATTCAATTCAATTCAATTCTGTGACTGTGCATCACGAATTTCTCATGTGAAACCAGTTGTAATGTAACCCATAGTTCATGGAAATCTCTGTTTTCATCATAACTGGTGACTTATGTCTGTTTTTGTGTGTGGAGATCCATATATTTCCTTTTGGATCAGTAGCTCTGTATTCTGTCATATCAGCTCCCTTGTGGAGTCCTTGTTGTAGGTTTGTGAAAATAAACATTCTGTGTAACAGTCCATGGGCCATACTGTTTAGTTGCATACTGTGAATTACTTATTCTGCTGACATATTTGCTGAAGTGTTACTGTAATTCTGTATTACTGCTTTACCCTGCCATCCTTCCTTTCCATTTATTTTGTTGCTTCTTGAGGGCATGCTCTTCAAGCACACTTCTCATCCACTAATCTCTATTTTGTTGCTATTAAGTTGTATTAATGAAATTATATATTTTCATTTGGTGCTACTTAGCTGTGGGAAGGTGAGATTCAAGCCCTTTTCTTCCTGTTTAATATTATCTTGGTTTTCCTCTCAATCACATTCTTTGTACATATTCTTGGACAATGCATCATCACCTAGGGGGCACCATAAATGCAACCATAGAGCCTGTAGAGACAAAAGTGGCACTGTCTGCATGTTTGGGGTAGGGGGCAAGAGTAGATGGAGCATTATGACAGCTAATATCATGTTTGACTTGCAACAGATATACATCCTCACTCTTTAAATATAGATTAACAAGACTGTGAGTTAATGTGATACCCAGGGCAACATTCTCTCATAAATGAATCTGCTAACTGTAGCAGGTCCTCTCATAACAGAAATATTAGAATTACTTTTGACATATCTCATATTACTTCATATTTCCAAGCAGTAGAGGCAATTTATATGGCCTTTCAGGTGTTAATTCATGAAGGGAAATACAAGATCGCTAGCATAGATTTGGATGAGCGTACCTGCTGACTGAAACTATAGAGACAACATTTGTGACATAACACATTTCTAACACTACCTTCTCCTGACAGCTTTACCATTCTGGTCTTTTAAATAAGGTTCCGAAGGCCACAGTGTGTGTCATTTCAAGAAGGTCTTACTCAAGGTTTATCTGTCCATTAAATCTGCTACAATGGATGGCCTATTGCTTGTGCAGGTCAGCAACTCATTATTATACTTGATGGTATTTCTTCATTCCTTAGGTCTCCCCTTTGATTTCAATCAGCAAACACATTACCATTAACTGTTATGTGTTCAATAAATACTGGCAGAATTTCAAACCTTGCATCAACAAACTGTGAACTGCAACACAGTCTAGCGTCTATGCATCTAACATTCTTGTGCAGTGGTATCTAAGACATATTCCTCCACATTTTTTATACACAGCACTGAAAACTGCATACAAACAAATTATTTTCCTTTTCATGACACTTGAATGAACATATCCCTTATAGCATAAGGATAGCAGACCATAAGAACAAATCTTTCCCCGACTTTTAGGAGAGGCCAAAAGAAGGACATATACATACCCAATATACTATGGAAACAAGGGTGCATCATCAACAGTTAGTCACACATATCATTACATTTATTTTCAGCATATTTCTGTGGGAAATTCATATATACTTACACAGGAATTTTCTTCTGTAAGATTGCCTACACATGGAATGGTGTAACCTGGTTTAGAAAGCAGATGGATGATACCAAATACAATGCCAGCAAATAATTTGAAAGGTTGCTTATGAAGATATTCTTATGCCAAGATCACTGAAGGAAGATGTAACTAATCACAGAAAATGGTAATTACTGCGATGTACCTGAGCCATGACCACTGAATGAGACCTGCAGCATTGGATTGTCTTCAAGAGCATACCACCGCGCCTCCTCATCCATCACACTTGGATCTGGGGACAAATTAATAAACATGCCAATCCACAAGATAGCGCCATTCTGCAGGGGATCTTGAAATCAAAAGGTAATTTCCTGTCACAATAATAAAGTGTACATGAAATTCCATAGGTTGATTAACTCCATGAAGAAGATGCCTTTTCAAGGAGACAGTAAGTGCTCAGCTAGACAATAAATTATTCATACTTCATGGAACCTTAAGTTTTATTATCTTCACAAAAGCCTTCCAGTGGTCTCTCCTCTGAACCACACGAAACCATGTCACACCCTCAAATCCTATTTCCTACAGTCCTCCCATCTATGCCTGGGTCTTCCAAGTGGGCTTTTCCCTTCAGACCTTCTAAAGAAAATTCTGTATATGTTTCCCATGCATGCACTATGTGTCCCATTCGTCTCTCTCTCTACTAATGTTCAGTACAGAGCACAAAGCTCCTCACTGTACAGTTCTGTTCTCCTCTATCCTTCACACAATGTGATAGACCAAGTTTAACACTTATACAAAGGAACACATTTAAATTTTTATGGTTTTAAATAGCAGGCAGGAAAACAGTTGTAGCAACCATTCTGATTTTAATTTACTCTCATTTCTTCATCAGTGAAATTTTCATGTCTTTGTGTCAATTGTCCTGCACTGTGGAGGAGACAGGAACACATACTTAATTATTTACATCTGGACCAGTGGTTCTGAACAGGGCTCCATGGATTCCTAGTGGGTTCATGACATCTCATCAGGGACTGCAGAAGAAAATTTCATACAAGCCAAAATACTTGCCAGCATGAAAATATATCATTCAAAATACTGAAAGTAATGTCGTGGCGTATCTTAAAATGATATTATGAAATGACAGCTGAAAGTTGGAACAGTGGAACAAGAGGAGACAATCATCATTAGGCAATGGCATAGTAAACACGTTTCCCCAGCAGCAAAAAACCAACATGCAACAATATAGGTAGGAACTGTTGGAAGGCTGCTTTCTGTGTAGTCCACGCAATGCAACCAATGGGAGGAGTAAGGTGAAAGTCAAAGTCAGCAGTTAGCCAGTTGAGAGCAGCAAATGAGAAGTGGCACTTCATGGTTGTTTGTGAGAAATCTCCATTGTTAGGAGCAGCTATCTAGCAACAACTAGTGATGACAGAAAAACAGAAGACTCTGTGTGTGCTGTAGTTGTAGTGACATGTAAAGTTAATGACAGTGTTATAATCATTTGGTAGGTGAGATGACAGTCAAAGAAGCCATCTGGCAGACCCTCGAACTGTAGATTGTAAAGCAAGCTGTTAGTCTCCTGTCAGACTCTGGAAAATGAGTTTCAGGATATTCTTGCGCAGATGGCCCCAACAAGTGGATGAAAAGACAGCCCACAGCTTATGTGCTGGTGCTCCTGGAGCACCAGTCACTTTTGGGAATGTGGCCTCCACAAATTGGATGAAGACAATGACTGACATTGGATGACATGACATGCTCAGAAGACAAGCAGGAGCCAGTTATGACAGACAATGAATGCAGCCATAATGCAGCAGCAGTCCATGTACATACGCTCAGAGTGTCCCCACTATAGCAGGATGGAAAAATCCATCTGCTGGTGGTGTTGGGGTGTCGGTCATCTTAGGAAGAACTGCCAACAGGGATACCCTCAGTAAAGCTCTCCAGAATAAAATCAACTGGGAAAGCAGAAATGGAGAAACCTGTACTTCCTCATTATGCAATCAGTGTGTCGGAAAAATATGGCCATGACAGTCTACATGCCCATGAACAGATAGGAGAGAGAGCATCTTTGTCACCAATGACACCGCAACCACTGTAAGGCCAGATATCACCACTGGGATTACCTGATAAGAGATCTGGCCATGCAATGGGCCCTGCTAAGAGATCCTCCCCATTTTTTAGAAAACCTTCAGAAAACTGTGACTACTGCCTCAGTGTTAATAAAATTCTGCCTTTAGTAACATGAATTAAACACATGTAATATAACAGAGGACACAGTGTTACCTGCAAGATCCAGCAGCACACCACCAAGACAATGCTTTGGATCATAGATGCTGTAATTCCATGCAGTCACTTCCAGGTACCGTGTACTCAACTCTTCTGCTGGCACATTTTCATACACCATTGTTGTATTCCACTCAGGATCACAAGTCTGTGAGAAGTAACGTGTCTGACGATGGTTCTCCATACTGAATAATATAACGGTTTGCATTACATATTATATAATGTAAACAAGGAGCTATGAACAGAATTCACAAAACCCACTCTGCCACGGCATACTTCCAGGACTAAAAAACTTATGTTGTTAATATTTTGCACAGGCAATGTAAATTCAATGTATCAATGAAATGCAATTCAGCTCATGGGTTAGCAGACTGGACTCATTCATAGATGGCCACACAATCAGATCCTGCTGAGCCATTCTTAATTACCTGCATTTATGAATATACATCACAGACTGCTGTCATCATCATCATCCTACCATGAAGAGCTCATTACTTCAGTACAGATTCTGTCTGTGTTACATTTAGCAAATAAACCCTCAAAGATACAATCACCGTGACTGTAAAAACTGACTTACAAACAAACAACGCTTCACATACAAATTACATAAATATGTTTTTGAGCTACCTCCAAATGAAATTTGACACATCTGACTCCAACAGTTTCTTCGTTATCACTATCAAATTGAAAGCTGAGTACAGATTTATGTTCTACTAGAAAAAAAATCTTTAAAGAACTGCATATTTTTCCTGTTACCATACATCATTTCAGGACACCAAATAATCCAGCAGTAGTTTCATTGGCAAATCATAAATTTGAACATCCATATTATTATTGAGTGTAGGTCTGATCAGCCTTCAATAGTATGATGTCCATACAAAGTATTGTGAAAATTCATCAACTGACCACGATCACCTCTTAAGTGTGTCCACCATTCAGTATTGCCAGCTGCAGGAAATCTACAAGTATAAGGCTGTTGTCACCTCGAAGCTACATTCATAATCAGTAAATCTGTTAGAAAGTTGGTAGCATGGCACACAGATAACAATAATCTCAGGCACTTAATTCTGTTTCTTACAGAACAGTATAATGGAAAGTATGGTTCACCATTTCCATCAGTATGGCATGCAGAATGGGCCCAGCCTCAAGTTTATGCTGGGAACAAGACTTTTCAGAAATATGTTTCCCCCTTGAAATAACCAACATTTTGGAAGTTATTGTGTTTGCAGATGACACAAGTATTCTTTGCACAGCTAAAGACTACTATAATTTAAAAACAAAATTGGATTTTGCTTTCAATCATATGTTTTTGTGGTTTGAAAATAATCAATTAGTGTTAAATCTGGATAAAACAAAAATTATAAAATTCACCCCAACAGCAGCTACGAGCTACCCTCTGTGTACACTCTCTTGTAACAAAAAGCTGACAGAAGTAGAAACGATAAAATTTCTCAGTTTGCAGCTGAACAATCGTCTAACTTGTAAGGGGCATATTGGTTTTTTGCCTCACAAGTTGAGCACAGTTGGTTTTCTAATGCGTAAATTATATAAATAGTCTTAAAGCTGTATATTATGCATATTATCATTCACTGGTGAAATACATCAGGCAGTCATAAGGTCTTTGTTATACAAAAGAAAATAACATACTCATACACGTAGAGATTTATTTAAAAAGCTTGACATACTGCCAATGCCATGTGTATATTTGCTCTCATTCATGATATTTGTTCTTAATAATTTGGATACGTTTCAAACCAATAACTCTGTCTATGTCATTGGAACCAGAAGGAATGACCACCTTCAACACATCTATCATCCTATCAGAGAGGGGTGTATTATTCAGGCATCAAGCTACATGATATTATGCCATCAAATATCACAGTTTTAAAAAACGATTAAAGGCAATTTAGGTTTGTTTTACGAAATTATTTGCAAAGTAACACATTTTACTCAATTGATGAGTTTGTTGAGCATGCAAGGGGCTCAGAAGTTAAGAGTTAATAAATGGTCTGTGTGCGTGAATTACATACTGTTGAGACTTGCTTGCTGTAAGTGTAGTAGTACAGTATGTATGTCTGATGTCTGTTTTTTGTTATGAATTTTAATATTTTATAATGTAACTGTTTTAATGATATGGCTTGCCAGAGTGTGTGGAATGGCAAGGTGAGAATCTGACTGTGGTTTTTCCATGACCTATGTGTGTTGTCTTGACAACTTAAGCTGTTCTGTCTCAGGCTTGATTTTATATCTTACTGGACCAAGGATGAATGATGTGTAGTCATCATGAATTTGTAATATGTGACATGTTTTATATCCAGCCCTATGGGGAGATGACTGGATCCATGAAATGATAAATAAATGTAAATGTAAATGTAAATGTGTGACCCGAAGCTCAAAAACTTTGTTTCTGTTCCAAGAGAACAAAGCCCATAGGACCAAGGCAGTGCATGTTCCATTCCCCACAGTGATTCCCAACCTTTTGTGTCCTGCAGCCCACCACTCACTTTGTGGAAAAGACATAGTCCAATCAAAGGAAAAGCAAAGCTTCTCTTATTCCAAGAACTGTATTTTTACAACTGTGTTAAGTGCTAGTGGTCTAGAAAACCGAAATTAACGGCTGTGGGGATCCACTGCACTGACCATGTGACAACCTCTATCCGCTAAAGTTGGCACTAAGTTCACCGACAAATGGCGGTCACTTGGTCCATGTAGTTCACTTGCGGACTCAAGCCATGGAGTTTGTCTATTTTTTGTTAAGTGTTAGTATTGTATCAATAATTGATGAAAAGTCTGATTTTTGAGATCTCATCCCCCCCCCATAACTGTCAACTCCCACTGGTGTAGATAACTTTTTGGAAGTGAGGACAGAGGATGAAACAGCATGATGTCCTACAACACTTACTTCCTTCCTGGCAGAAGGTACACTTTGATCAGAGGGTCAGGAGGAACACCCTGACACATTGGCAAGTTTCTTGCTCTCTTCACGATGACATACAGTATATGTGCTTTCTTGTCATAACACACTTGCAGCTGGACTTCTCCCTGCAAACAGAACATGTCAATACAGGTAGATAATACAAAACTGCTTTTATAAGAAATTATAGGAAACCAAAGGAACAGTAATAAAAAGCACAGGGTTACATAGCAGTCTGAGGTTAGCAAGATCAAAGGTGTACAGGAAGCTTGAGGTCAGGTAAGGATGATGACTACTAACACTCACCAAACCCACAGTACACATACTCATAAAATTTTAGCTGAGACGGCGCTGTTTGAAAATAAGCTTCTACAAAGGTCACTCATGTGAAAACTACAAATATTAAATTTCACACACAACAAGGAAACTACGCATCCCCATCCTGCAATGCTGCCTGGACTCTTCGAAGGAAGAAGTTGACCGTTGAAGGCATTCATGCACCACATGCGCGGCCAGTGTGTAAGGCTGACAACCTTACCGCCATCTTTGAGCCGATTGTCTAGATAACGTGGGACCCTCAACGTCTCACAACCCTATGGGCCTTCATGGCCTGGTACAGGGATAGCTTTACTTTTTTTTTTAAGTGGTCAATAAATCCAATATCCAGTCCAAAACCCAGTCAAGAGTCACTCAAATTGTGACACTATTGAAAGAGATCTTAGTGACATGGGTTGGGATGGTAAGGACCAGAAAGATCCGGCTCAGGATAGGGATCAGTAATGAACCTAAGGATTCCTTAAAATGTCGGGAAATTCGTGAATACCTGAGTGACTGGCAGTTTCTCTAGAAAGGCTCATCTCCATGGAGTTAGTTAGTTGATAAAATGTATGCACTGATGTTTCCTCAATCATAGTAAAAGTTAACTCTTTATAACATACTTGTATGTGGAGAGAATTCATACTATCTGTAGTCACCATGTCCATGACTTTCCACTGGTAGCATATGTTTCATCTCTTTGCTTGACACAGTCACAAACTGACATTGCAAACAAATTTCAGCAATATGTATTAACAAAAAGAAGAAATAATGTTAGTTTGAATAACTTCAGTATATACCAGATTTTCTCTTATATCACATCACTAACAATATTGGAGAACTTAATCAATATGGCGTCCTTATTTCACTTCTCAACCAGCTGCCAACTTCACACTCTTGTATTATTTCAAACTCTGAATCCAAGTCTAGGCTCTTCTGTTTCATTGCCATAATTAGGGTTTTTCAAAATTTTGTAGCTGATGCCAACTGAAACACAGAAGATGTTTGACAGGGGAAACAACACACACACACACACAGTTGTATTCTGTGATGTCATCATCTAAAGTGAGTGGGAGGATGAGAAACCTGTGTACCCAGAATGAGAAGATTCCACAGTGTTTCCACAATCTTGCCAAGTACCACCACGAATGAATGGATGAATGAATGAATGCTATGCTGGAAAGCAGAACCATAGCTGCTATATTATCAGAACCCCTGGGGGCATCCACTTCCGGGGGTTGTCCGCAGGGGTGCATGCTCTAGTCTCTGCTGTGGGGCCTGGTCGTTGATGATCTCCTGTGGGGACTTGATGATGATGGGTATTATACAGTAGGATATGCTGATGACATAGCAATCCTCATAAATGGAAAATTCCTTTTGACAGCATCAGAGTGTCTTCAAACAGCTCTGTACACGGTCCAACGATGGTGTGAAAGAACAAGCCTTTCCATCAATCTCAATAAGACGGTAATTATACCGTTTACTAGGAAGAGAAATATAAAGGGCTTTAACCTTTAAACGCCGGACTTCGAAATAGTGGTAAGCTTGAGCTGGCCGGAGTTTATTTAAATGTCCGCTGCTGGTGCGCGTTTAAATGCCCGTTGCTACGCTGCGTTTAAATGTCCGTTCCTGTTAGGCGCTTAATCAATTTTAAGCGTTGTGTTTAAAAATGCTCTATCTAGCTCAATTTTTATGATAAATGGATGGAAATAACTTTGTTTATTTCAGAAAAGAACATAGTGTCGCATATTATAAAGGAAGATTTGAAATTTTTAATACAAAGTGTTGTACTCTATTTTCAATTTTTTGTGTTTTAATTTTGATGCGTACTGCAAAAATGGTTTCCCAGTTCTTCACAGAGTTGTTCTGCATTATAACTTCATTTCTGTTTGTAACACTTGACAAATTTTAGCAGTCTCTGGTGTCATAAAACAGATGGAAGCAATAAAATCATTTGGTCTTCTGCTAGCGCTGCTTACACCCTTCGGATTTTCGAATACTTGACTGAAGGTCAGAAGAATGAAAGAATGGCTATTCAAGAGAAAGCTATAGGGGTCCCCTCTTCAGTGCTAAGATGTTCCGTTAGGGCTGCAAAAGCTTATTGCCCCTTCTATTTGAATGAACAGACAGCTGCATCGTGGCTGAGATACAGAGCGTGATCTCTTTTGTGTGCGTTCGTAGTGAAATCGAATACTGTAGTTTCATTTGAACCTATATATACATCAAGAAGGTAACAACAAAAAAGGTATGTACATCGAATTTTACACTATATTTTTAACATACCTATCTGCAGAATCTGCAACAAAATTACTGGATTGTGGATAAGTTTTGGCATAACTCATACGTATATTTTTATTTGCTGTTGTTCAGTAAGGTATTATTTTAATTCCTCTATTAGGGTTTTACTTAAGTCGGTCTGGTAATTACTACATTTAAAAATAAATATTCAGGACTGTGCATGCGCTTCTACTAGCGGCGTGTGCGCGCGCTTCCACTAGCGGAGTTTAAATGCCTGACTGGCCACAACTGGGTACTTTGGCCACGACGACCTTACTCATGACTGGCACAAACTGGGCACTTCGGCACTTAAAGGTTAAGGAACTGACCCTATTCAATAAGATGATCCAGCTCCTCAGTGATGTCAAGTACCTTGGTCTAGTATTAGATAAGGGACTGACATGGAAAAAGCAGTTGGACAAGGTCATCAGTAAAGCCTATAAGGCTTTTTGGACATACAGAAGCATGTTTGGTAAAATTTTGGGACTGCAGCTGCACGTTGTGCATTGGATATACACTGTGGTTGTAAGAACCATAATTACATACAGCACCACAGTATGGGGGCCCAGAGTTAAACTCAAGACAAGCAAGATAGAACTTAGCGAACTGCAAAGTTTGGCTTGCTTAGGTATCACAGGAGTAATTCGAACATCTCCAACAGCTGCACTAGAGATACTCCTTGGACTCCCACCAGTTGGAGGTAGAGGCCAGAGCAGGAATTTACCGTCTCCAGTGCAGTGATCAATGGAAACCTAGATCCGATGGTTTCGAACATGCATACACAACTCAGGACATGAGAAAAGAACCCATATTACAAATGGGATCTGACAAAATGATACTGAGACATGTATACGAAAAACCCTTCACAGTCAGATTTCCTGACAGGAGTGAATGGGAAGATGGGTTTTGGCCCGATAGAGAAGGGGGACTGATCTGGTATACAGATGGTTCCAAGATAAATAAAGGCACTGGAGCTGGTGTGTACTACCATGGCACGAGGCAGAAACTTAGTTTCAGCCTTGGGCAATACACGACAGTATTCCAGGCAGAAGTATATGCCATTATGGCATGTATTATGGAGAATTTAGATAGAAACTATAGAAATAGGAAAATCTACATTCTACCTGACAGCCAAGCTGCACTTAAAGCGCTTGACAACTCAAAATTGGTCTGGGATTGCCGCCAAACCCTCATGGAACTGGCCAAACATAATGGTGTACAACTGATACGGGTGCCGGGACATGAGGATATTGCTGGAAATGAAACAGCAGATCAATTGGCTAAGATTGGAGCTGAATATCTGTTCATAGGACCTGACCCAGCCTGTGGCATCTCTATAGGAGTCGCCAGACAGGAAATTAGGGACTGGACAAATATGAAGCACAAGAAATACTGGGGATCCTTGACTGGAGGGACTACTTACAGGACACTGTCACCTTAAAGGACACCTCTTCAAACTGGGACTAAGTGTTAGTCCCACTTGTGAGAGGTGTCAAGAAGAAAATTAAACAGCCACACATACCCTGTGTGAATGTGAGGCTTTAGCTTATTTAAGATTATGTCACTTGGGTCAATACTTTATGGAACCAAGTGACTATTTCAATGCCCCCACGTACAAAATCCTGCACTTCATTTGAAGCGCAGGATTGCTGAGGGAATAATCAAAAGGGGAAGCAAAATAGACCACTGTAGGTCACGGTGCAAGAGCCGAGAAGGCTCACCCCTTATACATTCATTCAAGTAACACCAAACTTGTACACAATGGAACAAGGTCCTGGACTCAGGAAATTCAGAGATTGCATGAAGTACACTGGTGATTAAAAATTAGAGAGTGTCAGCTGCTGTCACTCAGAATCTGGAATATGTGAACTTTCTCATAGATAAGGGCAGGAGAGAGGGTGGGTTAATTGGATACTTAGGAATCACTCATTATGATGAAGCTGTGGGGATAAATTTTATATGAGACTTTTCCAAAAATATAACATTAATTTACTGATGGAGCCCATGATTTTTCTCATTATAACAAAGTTTTCGTTATAATCCATGATGGTTACATCACAGTTCCACTGTATTAATATAAATTTCAAAAAAAAAAAATGGTTTACTGCATTCATCACCATCAGGACAAGGTGCAGCAAAGGTCTCCCGTGGACATTGTAACAAGCTGCAAGGTTCCATTAATGGCAGGGAACTGTGTGATCAGCTGAGCAACATTCAGCTTCCCAAGAAGGACTCTGTGTTCCATGGAGTTACTAAAGAAAACTGCTAGCAAACCTCACTTTGTTAGGTGTCTGTTGCAGTCCAGCGCCAGGCTCCTCCACTGACGAACCCCTCCTCTTCACACATCCTGACAAGTTCCTCTCAGTCTCATCAGCATGGCTATAGGCTGGGAACATGAGAAGTGCTGTTAACACTACCCTCATTGTTTTCCACATGCCACGAAACAAGTCAGAACAATGAAGTGAAATAAACTTGGATGTGGAGCACTTACAACTATGTTTACGCAAAATTTGGATGCATGGATATTATTACAGTGTAATACTGATCACCAATATACTATAAACTTGAAAAATGGAAACAAATATATAACAAAAGGAAAAGTCATTTACATTATTGTGCACACAAATATATTACAGTTTCTGGCACAACTCCAAAAGAAACTATGAATATACATAATAAATATGAGTACTTTTTGTAACGCATCACCGCACGAAATATTTTCAAGCAAGGAGTGAGTGACAGCAAGTGAACACTGCATGCAACTGGTACACTGACAGGATGTGTCTTGCCTGTAAGGTACTGTTCCTTATCACAGCATACAGTGCACCTCCTTGGGGCTTTCTTCTCCCTTTCAGTATACTTAGGCATGCTAAGTTTCTTAGTTTTCATAGCATTGTGCAAGACACCAACATTACAAGTTGCCATAGTAATGAAACAGAAGGCTAATTTGCTTCACTGTTTCACCACACTGTGCTCCAGGACCATATAAAATGACTGGTTGGGAATCCAGTCCTGCTTTGTGTTATCATGATCAGCAACCGCCAATGGTTCTGTCTTCTCCTACCCTTGCCTGTTCGAAGTCTCTTCCATCTGGGTGGCATATCTGCCACTCGGCATCCATACATCACTTTAGTCTGTTCACTGCAGGACAAGAACATTCTTCCAGTGGAATACCTGTTTACCCTTTCTTATTTTTGTCTCCTTTAGGGTTTCTGGCAATTCTTCTGTGGATATCATTATTGTCTCTGTAAGGCCAGTGCTTGCTTTCATGAACTTTTCAGCAAGTGGAACACAGATATATGAAGAGTCATGATAAACTGCATGACCTCTGTTAGTCAGCTGACCTAACAAACAACTTTATTACTCCAGAAAGAGGACCATTTTCAAGTTCAGGACTGCTCCCATGGTACACCCTAAAATTATCACACATACCCAATACATGATTCAGCTACAGTGAAGAATTTGCTGGGCTTCTGAGGCTTAGTGAGCCTGCTGGAACTTATCTGTCAGCTTCTGAAGTAAAGGGCATCCAAACCATTTTCACCAGCCTTCTCTTGTTGGCTATTATAAGTCAGGTGAACGTGGAGAGAATGCTGGTAACTCTGTCATGGGACAGCACATGTCAACACAGAACATACATTCCAATGGATTTCCGTGTCTGGCCTTTAGCTGATGCACATATGTATAAGTACAGAAACAAACCTTACTGCACCTGACAGGGTGGGTCATAGGCGTCCACTGTCTAAGTCTAGATTTGCGGCTCAACTCACACTGAGCCCTCAGTTTAGCTTTCTTTTTTTCTGTAAAATAAATAAATCTGTTTTTTTTTTATTTTTGCAAATTAATTTAAGTCAATAGAATGAAAAAACAAATTAGCAAATGACACAACTCATCTATGGCAACTCCTGCTTCACTGCTTTGGGATCTGAATACACAGCAATGTCAGAGGCATGATACGCATCTGTCCATACTGTATCACTGTAAGTCCCACAGATGCTCAAGGTGCCTCATGTGTTCAACAGTTTTGCTAAATGAGCCTGAATCTAAACCTGAAATAACAGACATACAATAATTTTTAACACTGTTCACCCATATCGGCAAACAGTGATAAGAAATATCTGGTCTAAGAAACAGGCGATGGTTACATGTACTTTCCTCATTTTCAGGAGGGCAACAGTTACTCTCACTCACTCACTCACTCAGAGCTGAGCCCTTCTTGACTAGCTGCCAATTGTGCAGCTACTCAAGAACTTCCCAGCATTTTTTGGACCCTGAAAATTCATCACCGTGTTCACAAGAGCCCTCCACTGGTCTCTATCCTTAGCCAGAGCAATCCAATGCACACCATCCCAGTTACAGTTACTGACATTATTTGAATTAGTACTTACAAATATCCTGCTCCCACTGCCATTATTTTTCTCTAAAATGTCTTCAATAATTCCTCTCAAACATTGCTCTTCAATGTTTTGCATCATGATGACAAAGCCAACATAAATTATAACATGAAGCAACCATTCTACAAACAACTGTGCTGCTGTTGGACTAGAGGTTCTCAAAGCAGTGGTTATGAAGAGCTTTATCTTCTGGAATATAATGCCACTGAACTACATGGTGCTATATCCCAGAAGGGAGAACTCTTCAACTGTGACGATCTGGCAAATAACATTTATTTAACTAGCAGCAATTTGTGACTCTACCACAAAACACTGGCATCTGGTATTAAGCAGGTAACTCAAACACATAAGAACCATGTCTGATCACCTGAAGCAGTAATATTATAGCCACACTGTAAGTACTAAGTCATAACTAAGTGTTAAATATTTCTTTGACATGTTTTGATCTACTGATTAGCAACCATTCAGAAGATGGTATTAGGCTTGTGTGTGTGTGTTTGTGATACTGTTATGGTCTGCGTTACCTTGCGAATCGCTGTAGGCTGAAGAAATGCCGTTGCTCCCATTATGCTTGTTGTCATACAAGGCTAGAGACTGGATACATTGCTGTGGTGGCTTTGGTGATGCAGATGCTCTTGTGCTTGAACACACAAACCAAAATTAACTGTAGATCATACTATTAACTTTGGGAAAGTCAGAGAATGTTAATACTGTTACGTGATGGAGTGACTACAGATGGGGTTTGGATTGGAAATCAGATTTACTGGGCATTCAACTTGCGACTATGCATTACATACAGATCAATATTAATTACACACACACTAGTGTTCACAGCCAGGTCTTCACTAGCCATTGCTTGGTAGCGGCTTCCAAAGGTGAATGTTCCCCTTCCTCTGGGTTCCCAAACTATCCACGACCTCAGCTACCAGCTTCTGCAACTCTCAACTGACTGTCTGTCTGCAGAATCTCTCTTGACTTGACTCACTACACTCCCAACTCAAACTGACTGGTAACAGCCTCAACATGGACTGCACAGAAAACACCGATTCAACAGCTCTTCTATTGTTGCATGTGGCTCTTGTGATCTTAACACAACAGCCACTGAGCCATCACCTAGCAATGGGCGTGTTTACAGAGCCATTCCCTAGCAACAGTTGTCTCTGCTGGCTCCATAAATCTGGCTTCCAGCAGACATGTCACAATACTGTTAGCAGTTAGGTTCCAGCAGTAACAGGGAAGCAAACACATTTAAATGACTGTATGAGAGTGGCTATAAAAAGCTAGCTGAAAAGATGCAGTGTCAACTGTCACAACTGGATTCCATAACTTTGTTCAGATGGACTATTTTCTTAAAAAAATATTACACACATTCATACTACATTTTCCTGAATAAAACAAAGTGAACTACATGATTTACTGAGTGAATCTGATACTTGAATCTACTGTTTTTCACATTTCTTACGATTATTCTATGGGTTCTCTTATTTCAGTTTCTTATGATAAAAACATAATTAATATGTGAATCATCTTATATTTCTTTTCCTCTATGTTCTATCTTAAGAAAATGTGTACAGAATTTTAAAAACAAGTTTTTCTTAATGGAAACATACATTACAATGTTTATTCATTTTAAGAATGCAGTTTTCATATATTTCTTACATTATCATCAGTATATTTGTATTGCATATAATGTACAGAAATATATGCAGATAAAAGTATATATATATATATATATAATTGAACATATATTTATGTCACACTTTATGAAGCCCATGTACAGACCAAAGTTTATATATAATAGTTATGTTAAACCATCACCACAACAAATGTATACTCACTTTTAATGTTTAGAATTAAACCTTTATTTTGCTACATGTTTCGGTCACATAGCCCCTTCATCAGGCAGTTAATATAGGGATTATTTTTTTTATTTATTGTTAGTGGGGTGGGACTAAGTCCCTTGTACTGCGGCCACTTCTGACCTATTGTACCAGCCCCAGATAATAGGTGAGGGTGAAGCACCTCTAACCAACACAATGCACTGTACTACTAGAACACTTTATTGTTTTTCTTACAGTCTCTCGGTGGTATAAATCCACACAATCAGATTTAGTTTCGGCTTTCAAGCAGCCGGTGTTGCACTTGCTCAAATTACCTGATAAGGTCGACTTAAACCTTCCGCTTATGGATTAAGCTAGATCTCTTTTAAGCTATGGGTAAAATTTCGCACTTCTAAGAATTATTTAACTTAACAAGCAAGTATAATCGCGGGGTTTGCCTCCACCAAGTTCGAAAGTTTGTAGCAGACTCCAATCTGTCGAGCCAGAGGTCCTAACTGAATTGTATCCGCCTATTCTCCTCTCCTCCTAATTTCCTGGATAGGCTGATTCAAATAAGAGGAGTTGGCTTAATTTTGGTTCCGGCCAATGACTGATTGTTTTAGAGGGAGTTTCGGCCTAAAATACCAAACGGAGAATTTGACAGCGATGCAACTTATGAGGGGTCGCTAATGATCTCCTGGCACTCCCACTTTTGACTTATGGCTGGTAGAAACTGTCACTTCTCGAATTCTCAAAGTGGCTTGCCGCTGTAAGTCAAATTCTCAATTTCTAAAGAAACTCAGTGGGGTTCCTTGAAGTATCATTTCTGCCCTTTTCGAAAACAATACCAGATGCTTGGACGCAAGGACTAGCAGATGTCCTTGTCTGTGCAAGTTCGGTCTATCTGCTCATCGCCTACTGCTTCTTCTGACTGTGTGTCTTAAACCTTTGTTTTTTCATAATTCTTATTGTCTACTGAAATAAAAAGAGGGGGACGGGAAGGATTTCAATGGTGCAGTTACAATTGGAATAAAGTTTGGCAGGGGAAACCGAAGTACTCGGAGAAAACATGCCCCAGCCCCACTTTGTCCACCACAAATCCCACTTGACCAGACCTGGGGATATAGGGATTACTAATACAGATCCATACTAGTGCAGTGTGTCTTAATCTCTTAATACTTAATAAATCTTAATATTTTAAATATTTTAAATAATTAATATATTTTGTAATATAATTAGCATACTTGTATACTCGTACACTTTTAACAGATCCTAAATACATGTTACATATTTTTTTTTATATACTTATTACCAACTTGAGGCAAAATTTATGTTATCATATAACAAGACACGCTGACTGGTATGGATCTATATTAGTAATTTCTATATTAATTGTCTAATGATGGGCCTATGTGACCGAAACATGTAGCAAAATAAATGTTTAATTGTTAAACATTAAAAGCGAGTACACATTTGTTGTGGTGATGGTTTAACATAAGTACATTTAAGTTTGGAATACACAACAGGATGCACACTATAAAGATAGACCAAAGTTTACTGAAGCTGCAAGCACAACAAAAAGAGTTAGGCAGGTCTGATCTAGACTTTCTGCACACATGGAAATTTTTGCACCATATGATGTATGCTTACCTCTTCACAACTATTTCAACCTCGCCTTCTGTTTGGGACACTAGCTTCTGCACATCTTCAAATGTCTTCCCCATAAGGGAGACACCATTCCACTCCAGGACTTGATCCCCTGCAATTAACCAAAAACCATTCATGATGTTGTGTAAGCTGCTGTTCTCCTGAGGGTGTAACAAAGACAACAGACATCACCAGGCATGCAGATAAGAATATAGAAACCATTGATACCATAAATGTATGAAGTGAATACAAATGTTACCAGACATATTAAAAGAGATAAGCTATCCCTATAACAGGTCATGGAGGCCCACAGGTTTGTGAGATGCCAAAGCTCCCACACTTTCTAGACAAGCGGCTCACAGATGGTGGTAAGGTTGTCAGCCTTACGCACCGGCTGCCCTTTACTCACAGGAATATTCCTGGTACTCATTTCTGTTAGAGGCTGAGGCGACCACAGGGCCTCCTCATCGGAATGCAACCTTCCAGCTTGTAGCATAGTGCCTCAATCAACTATGCTACTGCATGCCCCCATTTCTATTGTATTGTTTGTAATTATCTGGGATTATGACCTCAACATCAGCTCTTAGTCCACTCATTATTACACCACAATATCACTGCACTGTCCTCTTCTGTTGTCTTCTGTCTGCTCAAAATCTTATGGGAATTTGGTACAGATACCTGCTATCATCTGCTACCAAATTAGTTCTAGGTAGCTAACCCATTTCAAATTCATTTATGCCCCAACATCTCACAACCCTATGGTTGGTCCTCCACAGACTCTTACATTTTTTTCTTCTTACCTTCTTTGATTTCTCCAAGTGACTCCACTACTCCTCCTGGGTAAATTCGGGTTACATACGCTCCAAGCTGCCCCCCTGTGCCTGGAATTTCTTTTCCACCAATCACTCTCATGCCAAGACCATTGCCTGAAAAAGAAAATGTGCACACATTATAATAAAGAAAACAATGTGCGCTACACAATTCTGAACAGGTCAATATTCAGTATGTGCAGAAATGCAAATGTTTGAAATGACTACCGTTAACTTCTAGCCACTGCTGACAGTGCCAAGCAACTGAGCAACAATCATTCACCAAGGACTCTGCTGTGATGGCTGTGTATATCTGTTCAGCTTCATGCCTTAGTTTTTGGAGTGCTTCTGGGTGGTTTTACTGTACACTGAAACCAACAGCTAACACCCCAAGTAAATGTCAAATGAAGTCACATTAGGTATGGAACATTTCCTCTTCAGTCTCTCCACTGGTCTGGGAAACTGTCAGGATGCAAATGTTCGGGTGTCCCATCATTTCCTCGCTATACAGCCAAGGAACAGCAGGGAGAGTGGATACCTTAAGCATGCTGCGGTACCAAGGACACGTCTCCATACAAATGTTGGGATTTTATGATGACTGGTACATGCAATTACGACAGTAAATCCTCGCTAATCTGGTTACAATTAATCAAGATCGAAGTATGAAAAATTCTGAAGAACCCAGTCTTCTGGGATGTGGTGCCATGTAGATGTCGTGTTAACCGACGTTTCGGAGGAACGTATTGCCTACATCTTCAGGGTAGAAGGAAACATAAGAAAATCTGCAAGCGAAGAAACAGTGAGAAGAGGTGCAAGCAGACTAATGCCGGAAATAAACTCATCTATATGAGAGCAGGAAAGGAAGGGACAGGTCTACATGGGAAATCAGTGGAGAGGGAGAGGGGAAGGGTCTGTGGAGCAGGAGTAAGGTTAGAGCAGGTATAGGATATTGGGTTGGGGGGGAAAGGCAAGGTTAATGGTAGGGAATTAACCCTTAATCTGTTTTTTATTGCTAGTGGGGTGGGATTAAGTCCCTTGTACTGCGGCCATTTCTGGCCTATTGTACCAGCCCCAGATGATAGGCAAGGATGATTGTGGAGCAATTGGTGGAATGAAGATTGGCAAGGGAAACCGAAGTACTTGGTGAAAACCTGACCCAGCGACACTTTGTCCACCACAAATCCCACTTGACCAGACCCGGGATCGATCCCAGGCCACCATGGTGGGAAGCCAGCAACTAACTGCTTGAGCTATGGCGTGGCCCCAATCTTGTGGGGTTGCTATGCAAGTCGGTCATAGACTGCATGGCCTTGTGGATCTGGCGTCATGTCCTGGGCGTTTCTTAGGGAACAGATGAGAGGCTTCCATGACTTGCTGATGGTGTGGTGATGGGCTCGCCACTTTCTCCGGTCGTCTCTAACCTATATATGGAGGACTTCGAGAAGAGGGCACTTGACTTGGCCCTACACAAGCCCCGCTGCTGGTTTCACTACGTGGACAACACTTCCGTCATCTGGCCACATGGGCCCAACAAGCTTAAGGACTTCCTGAACCACCTAAACAGTATCCACCAGTGCATTCAGTTCACAATGGAGACTGAAACTGAGGGACATCTCCCCTTCCTGGATATAGATATTTACAGGAGACCCGATGGTTCTCTGGGCCATAGAGTGTACTGCAAATCCACCCATACAAACCTCTACCTTAATGCTGCGTCCCACCACCACCACCAGCAGCACCCACAATAAACACAAGACATAGTAATAACCTCCATTATCCCTCCTGTAACTTAACTGTCTTTCAAAAGGGAGCATATTATTTTGGAATTAAAATTTTTAATAAACTTCCACCTAATATAAAAGACCAAGCTCATGAGATTAAAAAATTTAGGTCTGCTCTTAAAAGATTCCTATTTTTTAAAATCATTTTATTCATTGGACAAATATTTTAACTGTGACAACAATTAAAGTTTCGGATTTGTTATGGGTGGTAGTTGATAGCGCTTTATTGTTATAGATGATGGTTTTCGTTCATGTTGTATATTGTTAATATTTTAACTGGTATGACATTACACAATTGTGAAGCAGTATGTGATGTTTACTCATGTTGACTATTTCTATATCCATTTGTGTTTAACCATGTAAGGATTTATGGATTGCTGAATAAATGAATGAATGAATGAATGAATGAATGAGTGAGTGAATGAGTGAATGCTGTCTTATGTTAAAGTAGCAAGAACAACCTGCAATTCTAAAGTGTACTGAACTGGGGAAATATAAGAGTTACACAGTCAATTCAGAATAATGGTTATAAATTATGTCATACAAAATACAAATTGTTTTCTGTCACTACTACAAAAACCATAACTTTGTTAGCCTTAACTGACTGTGTGAAATTTCACTCTGAAAATCAGTATTCACATATTTTATGTGCCACAATTTTCAGATACAATTATTGGGTAGAACTATAAGTAAATTAAGTGAGTACATACAGTACTTCCTACATATGTATGTATATATTCACAACATTGTCAATACCATACCAACTGGATCAAGAAACTTCTATCTGTATGGAAACTGTATGAGGATTTTCACTGCCTTTTTCCAGAAATTTGAAATAAATGGAGACCACTGCTGACATGGAATTCATATAACATAATGAAACTCAATTCAGAGCATGGCCTTTCATTCAGGAGGCCTTAGTTCCGTCTCATGTGGTGACATGCCCACATTCTGGGAGGAAGAATAACTGTGGGACACCAAATCATACTTTACGATGAGTGTATGTATATTTTAATTCTTAACATTCTCCTTAAATTTTAAAGTAAAAGAAGTGGGAATTAAAATACAGACGTACATAAACAAATATGCAACTTAATTAGAAAAACAGAGAACTTCATCTTGCCAATAGAAAAACTTCACTTGAAAGTACCTCCAACTGATCTGTCCTTGGGGTCTCGTGTCAAAAGGAGATGTTTTACAGGAAAGTCGTATTTCGGCGCTGCATGTTGTACACTGGATGCCTGAAAAACACAGTACCAGTGATCCATCTAGAAACATGAAAATGTGCAATGCCAATTAGTCTCCAACCCAACTATCACCCTTCCTTCTATGGGTATTTGTGGTCGGTGCTATGATCAGGCACAAGGAATGAGTCCAATTCCCTCATATTTCAAATGCTCTACAATGTTATAATGCCTTTCTTGTGAAAATGCAGTATGAAATATTGGGGGGGAGATCAAGCCAATGGTAGGTACCTTACAGGCTTTATGTGCTCTGCCATGAATATATATTACAGCTTAATTAAGCACTCCAATACACTACCTTATGAGAGACAAGATGAAGAATTTAAATTTGAAATGGATGATTTCTGTGTCTTGGATAATTCATTTCTGAAAAATATATATACTTCAATAAATCATGCAAACCCAAATCAGACAACTGAGGCAGAATTCGAACTAGCCACACAAAGATATAAGAAATAAATATATATTTGTACTCCTTTATATGTGATGATTTACAGCTCATTAGGCATTTTTAGCATTACCCTAAGATATACAGTGATTTGGGGGCACATGGTACCGTAGTTGGCTGAGGCATTATAACAAGCCAGAAGGTGGTGGGTTCGATTCCCGACAAGACCACTGGTTTCTTTCAATTGACCTAATCCATCCAGCACCAATATGGTCATAGGGATGACTCAGCCTCTAATACAAATGAGTACCAAGAATCTTCCTGTAGTTAAAAGATGGCCTGAGTGTAAGGCTGACAACCTCACCACAATCTGTGGGCCAACCTTAGCACTAGGAGAAAAATCTGCCCCCATGTTATTCTGTCCATCACAAATCCCACATGATTTGACCTGGGTTTGAATCCGCGCGGCTTCGGTGGCAAACTGCCATACCACAGATGACATGATCAATGTTGAAAAAAAAATGTAAAAGAATATAACCACAATCGGTTTACCACGGTTCACATTATGGTCATTTAGTCCTGCACTGTGTTCATCGTTGTGAAACATATTAATCCAATGTCACTGAGGACATTGGAAAATTGTGCAAAGATTTTAGTAAAGAAGATCAGGTAGTTATAGTTTGGGGGCCAGGTAACAGTTTGGAGAGAAACCTCAATTATCAAATTGAGAAAGATTTAAGTGACAATGCCCAGAAAACTAGTCACACCAATGTGAGGTTTGTTGGTCTTCTCTGGCGACATGACAAGCCATGGATTAACAGGTGTGTAAGGGAGATTAATCTTCGGCTTGAGCGTTCGCTTGTGGAGGTCGGCACGGCCCACATTGATGCGATTGATGTCTCTTCAATATTGAGGAGCGAACATACTGTCCGTGGTTTTCATCTTAATCCTCGAGGCAAGGACAAGATGATGCGACTCGTTGCAGAGAGCATTAAAGGCAGACACATTCCAGTTGTCATGGGTGTTCAGAATCATTTTTTAGGATAAAGAGTGCAAGTAAAGTTTATCAAGTAAAAGAAACTGCAAAAGAAACTAATCTTTCAGACAATAATGTAAGTGAACCAATAGAAATCGGAAAAGGTAATTGCAGTCTACTAAATTCAATGAATAATAATGTACTAAGAATATTCCATCAGAATATAAGAGGATTGAGAAACAAAACAAATGAACTAATAAGCTCCATGAATTCAAATCTTCCACACATACTGTGCCTTACTGAACATCACATGAAACAGCTGGAATTAGAACATCTTCACTTAGAAAATTATAATTTAGGTGCTAGATACTGTAGGAAAACACTGGAGAAAGGAGGAGTGAGTATTTTTGTACA